AGAAAATCCCAAAGGTGCTTTTTTCCCCCCAGGAGGCAACTGGACTTTCTGTTTTTTTTCTTTTAAATACCTTTCGCTTCTCATCCAAGAAGCTTCTTCAGCTCTGGCTGGATGGTGGGGAAGGGAAGGATTGATCCTCCTTGCAGACAGCTGGTCATTTGCATCCTTTTAGAGGGTCGTTGAGACCACTTGGCCCTCTCTCAAGAGTGGGGGAGAGATAAGACATTGTCTACCGCCAGTCTACAACACAGTCCTTTCAACAGTTCCAAAAAGGCTCCATACACCCATTTGCGCCACTCGGGTGCCTCTGAGGACACGGACAAACCTCCAAGTGGCCTCAAAGGCTCTCTAAAAGGATGCAAATGACCAGCTGTCTGCAAGGAGGATCAATCCTTCCATTCCCCACCATCCAGCCAGAACTGAAGAAGCTTCTTGGATGAGAAGCGAAAAGTCTTCAAAGAAAAAACAGGAAGTCCAGTTCGCTCTTGAAAAAAGCACCTTTGGGATTACCTGTACTGATGCTTCTAGTCCTCTTGAATCAGATATGGCTTTTAAATGTTCCATCTCCTCTCCTGGCTCTCCGTGACCCCTGAAACTAACACTAATGTTTTAAAAATCATTTTAGGTGTCGTTTGATTTGCCGACGAGATTGCAGCCTGGGGTTGCTTTTTTGAGTGACCAAGATCCAATAGCCAAAATGTCGGCAACACTAGACTTGGAAAAAGGATGCACGGTGGATGAACTGCTCCATGGATGCATTGAAGCCTTTGGTAAGGACGGCGGTTCTCAAATAATGTCTTTGCAGGCAGGACGCAACTCTCTGCCTGCCTCTGTTGCAAACTCGCAAGCTGGTGTGAGTTTGCGATATGTGTCTTCCCTTCCCGGAGGCTGGATTGGAGACCATGAATGTTGCATTAGGGTCCCGAGGCTGAAGATGAATGAAAGTAAACCAATCCACGGATAGCAGTTTGTTGAGCATCCAGAATCAACAGAAGAATCAACAGCAACTTTTTAGAGCATTCCATGGATAGCAGAATCAACAGCAACTTTATTAATCATCGGACATCATTTTTAAAGCTTCTTAGTTTCGTAGTCCTCACCTACTTTACGTGTTATTCCATTATTGGTTAACAAGTCTCCAAGGCACAGTAATTGGTTAGTAATTACATCATTGGTGTTCGTGAGAATGTGCATGTTCTCACACGCTGAAAGAATCAAATGTTATACATTCAAATGAGTAAATGTTACAGGTTATACATTGTATCATCCCGTGTCCTTGTTCATGCCTGGGAACACACTGCAAGCAAAGAATTGCTGACAAGCAAGGAATTGCTGACAGTTTGCAATCATGTGTAACCACAGTTCTAAGAACCATCCAGATGATTTATTGTAATAACCCTACACATGAAGTGAGTCTACAAGAAGTCACCAAGTTCTGAGAAGTAGCTTTCATTTTATTGCAGAAAGTCTAAAAAGTCACCACGAAGGGATTCCAGCAACTGCTGTCTTTAAAACGTGGCCTCTGTTTATTATAACCATAATGCTTAAGTAAGGGTTGCCCAGTCAGTGGGATGCAAGTGGAGTTGGAGATTGTGGAACTCATGGCCACTTTAACAATGACCATAAGCGTGGACAGTAAGATTGGATTTATGCATTATTTTTTGATACTGTGTTATTTTATATTATGATGTTTATTATGTAATCTATTCCGCACTGTTCCATTATTCTATTCTATTCTATTCTATTCCATTCCATTCCATTCTGAATCCTATTCTATTCCTATTCCTATTCTATTCCATTCCATTCCATTCTATTCCTATTCCATTCCATTCTGAATCCTATTCTATTCTATTCTATTCCTATTCCATTCCTATTCCATTCCATTCTGAATCCTATTCTATTTCTATTCCTATTCCATTCCTATTCCATTCCATTCTGAATCCTATTCTATTCCTATTCCTATTCTATCCCTATTCTATTCCTATTCTATTCCTATTCTATTCCTATTCTATTCCTATTCCATTCCTATTCCATTCTGAATCC